AGGATTTTACTTGCATGTGGTATTAACGCGATAGTGCAGGAAACTGCATAGTCCTTAAGATTGCCTTTGTTTAGTATTGAGATAAAGATGAACTTCTTCCATTCTTTAGGCCATGTAATGTCTTCCCATATTCTCTTACGGAGAGCCGTCATGGCTTTCAGGGCTTCGTCACCTGCTGCTTTCAGGAGTTCTGTTGGCAGATCGTCCGCACTTGCTGCTTTCCTGTTGCTCGAATCATCGCCCAACGCACCTTGTCTTCCATCAAAGTTGGTTCTTGAACAAATTTTTCCTCAGAAAAAAGTGCTTTACGCCTGAGGACCTTTCCTTTAGATGTTTTCTGTGCAGTTGTAGTCCATAACAAGAAACCAATTTATGATGTTAAGGATTCATTTACATATCTGGAAAAGTACCGTCTTGAACATAAATTGATCTCATCCTCAGCATGGCATGCTAACGTCATCAATCCACTACCTCTTATAAAGTCACAAAAATCATAACTTAATGAAAAACACTTCCTGTGTTAATCTCAAACTTCATCTGCCATCTGTTGCCAGAGCGCAGCGGAATAAAGCGATCGACTGACTGCATGTAAGGAAAAGATGTCAGGAAAATCTCACAATTCCTTTAACCACATATTCTGAACTTACTAAGAGAACGATATACATTATGAAGATAACTATTCTGGGGCACTGTGCCCTGGTACAAGTCCACCCACAGACGTTTCAAAGGTGCATGCTGCCTTCATCATCAGAGTGATTGAGTCCGAATGTACGTCATGTAGGTGACTTGTGTCCATTGTCTTTGACTTCGTGTTACATTTTGATCGGCCATGTCTGTAACAAAGGGTTTTAGATAAAGCAAACGTTGAATCATCAGGTAGGTGCTATCCTACCGTGTGGCTTGATCTATAACCGCTCCCTTTCCCGCACGTCTCTTCAGAATTGCGTATATTTTATTTGTTCTGGCTGTAGGAACTATCTGCTAGAGTCTTCTTCATTTGTAAACAATCCTATTTGTAGGATTGGTTGGCAGCAGCTCTCCAAGCTTCTCCTGTTTATTGAGGTTTTGATAATAAAGATGTTATCTGCGGTTATTTTACCTCTTACGAACCCAGCTTGGTACCTTGATAGAATCTTATTACCTGCTAGCCAGTCTCTCAGCCTACCAGCCAAGGCGCTGGAAAATATTTTGCTTAAATGCCTCTGTAACTATCGGGCTCACTCACCGTACCCTTCCCTTTGTAGATTGGGCTGATAACTGCAACTCTCCACTCCGCAGGGAAATCTTTCCCATTCTTAATTTTATTACACAAATTCGTTAAAGTTTCTGTTCATCCCACGGTGCAAAAATTTTGCACATCTCGACTGGTATCCCATCGACGCCAGTGGCTTTCCCATTTTTAATTTTTGGTATACTCTGCCTGATTTCCTCTGTCGTAAAGTCAGTGTCCAGCTCCTCTACGTGTTGGGAGCCCAGCAATTGGCTCGCGTATACCAATCGCCCTTCCGCATTCCTGGCGAACAGATCATGGAAATGGTTTACGTAAGCAGCTGGATTTACCTCATTCTTGAAATCTCTTTTCGTCACTATGTCCCTTTTGTATTCCCACCCTCTCTTTATGCCTTGCTAAATCGTTTATTCTTTCTCCTGACCTTTCCCACTCGTTTCCCTGTCTCGAGAGATGGAGCAACGGCGCCACATAACTTGCATAATTTATTTTAAACCTGTGATGGTAGTTGCAGACACCTAAGAATTAGCACGACAGCTTTTGGTTTTTAGGCGCTGAGTATCTTGAGATCGCCTCTGTCCACCGACGATCAGTAGAAACTCCGCCGTTACTAGTCACGTGGCCGAGAATTCTCGGGTACATTTTTCGAAGCTGTCTTACGTATAAGAGAGCTGCTGCTTATTGACATTAAAAGAATGAATTACTTACCGGGATATTTCAACTTGTGCTCTGCGTTCGCCTGGCGTGCTAGGGCGAATTATTCTTCTTTTTTCGTCTTTCTTCATTGCCTTCCACATTCCGCCAAGTCTGCAAATAGAAGGCAGGTTGTAGGAGGAACCGGAGGACGAAAATCCAGGGGTTGCAGTTGGGTAAAGGCAAAGGCAGTGGCGTATGAGGGCGCACGAAATGTTTCACCTATTCTCGACGATCAGAACATTTTCAGCAAATGAAAATAAGATATTCAACATCGAATTCCCCTCATGCATTCTCTGACAATTTTTGGTTTCTTTGCAATTTTACAGCGATATAATAGTTCCGGGCGGACTCTGCTGCCGGCTAGACTTATGTCCTTTATATCATGTGTTCAGTTATAATCCAGCAATAAAAGTAGCCTTCAAGTTAATGTGCTGAGTTTGTGAGTCGAATTTTACAAGAGTCAACATTTTTTTAAATTACTAGGGTTCATAATTTATCATCTGCGCTTAATTATAATTTTGCATGTTCGCACCGACGCCATTACCTTATGAACATTGATCTTACAAGTCCTCTGAATTCGAATGGCTTTGAAGACAATTTGTCGTTCACGAATGCTGTGCACATTGAATTATTAACAAGTAATTGTTCTGAAGTAGATTTTGTATTGCAACTTACCTCACACTGATGTTATTGTTGTTTTCATGAGGGTACTGAAGTGCCAGTCTCTTACGCCATTCATTGGAGTAAATTATGAATCCATGGGCGGTCTTTTGACTTTCTGATTTTGCACAGCAGCAAGATGAGACTTTAGTGTTTTGTTCCCAAGTTTTCGTTGCTTCTTTCCCTGCACTGGTATTTTCTGGTGCAGGTTGTCATATTTATTTCCTGAAAGAATAGTGGAATCCATACATAACACAGTTTTAAAACAATAAGAATCAGAATATGGTTAGCAGTGTAGAAAAGCATGGCTCATTCCACACTTTTTTCTTTCCTGAAGGATTACAGACATCTTAAGCAACTCTAATGGATATTTTACAGGATCAAAAGTGTTTCTCAGGCAGTAAGTTGAGCATAACTTCTACACAATCTAGTCCTATTTCCTTTGCTGTCTCTGTCACATTGTCTGTTATTGACGCACGGGTAGTGTTCTCTTGCGAATCTGGAATGCAGTGTGGCCAAAGCTTGCACCAGACGCCATCCATGCGAGGAATATGACACTTCACTCCATGCCGCTGAATTTTGGAGATCCCTTTCATAATGTATGACTTACAGTCTCTCAACGTGACATTGTCGGCCACTTGAATAGCTCAGAAATTCCCTCGAGTGTTGTCCGTAAGTAATAAACCTTGAAGGTAGATAATACAAGTCCTCTGAATTCGAATGGCTTTGAAGACAATTTGTCGTTCACAAATGCTGTGCACATTGAATTATTAACAAGTAATTGTCTTGAAGTACGTTTTGTATTGCAACTTACCTCACGCTGATTTGATTGTTTTTTTCGTCAGGGTACTGAAGTGCCAGTCTTTTCCGCCATTCATTGGAGTAAAGTATAAAACCATTGGGCGGTCTTGTAACTTTTTGATTTTGCACAGCAGCAA